ATTGTGTTCTGCAGTTCTCTTTGTTAGTTCATTATTAGAGTGTAGAAATGCTACTGATTTTTGTAAGTTGATTTTATACCCTGCAACTTTGCTGTAGTTGTTGATTATTTCTAGTAGTTTTCCAGTGGATTCTTTGGGGTTTTCTATATACAAGATCATGTCATCGGAAAACAGCGAGAGTTTCACTTCCCTTCTTATTTGGATTCCTTTGATTCCTTTCTCTTGCCTAATTGCTCTGGCCAAAACCTCCAGTACTATGTTGAATAAGAGTGATGATAGAGGGCATCCTTGTCTTGTTCCTGTTCTCAGGAGGATGGCGCTCAGTTTTTGCTCATTGAGTATGATGTTGGCTGTGGGTTTGTCATATATGGCCTTTATTATGTTGAGGTGATTTACTTCTATCCCTATTTTGTTAAGAGTTTTTATCATAAATGGCTGTTGGATCTTGTCAAATGCTTTCTCTGCATCTATTGAGATGATCGTGTGGTTTTTATTCCTCAATTTGTTGATGTGGTGTATCACTTTGATTGATTTGCAGATGTTGAACCATCCCTGTGTCCCTGGTATGAATCCCACTTGATCGTGATGTATAATCCTTTTGATGTATTGCTGAATTCGGGTTGCCAAAATTTTGTTGAGAATTTTTACATCGATGTTCATCAGTGATATTGGGCTGTAGTTCTCCTTTTTCGTGCTGTCCTTGTCAGGGTAAGGCTTAATTTTTGAATTTCCTTTTCCTTTTTCATTCTTTTAAATCTCCCACCATCTAGAGTACATACCAGGGCAACCAGAGTACTTGCCTCCCTCTAGTCATCAGGTCAAAGTAACACGATGTCACCAATATTGTGAACAAATGTGATGTTCATTCCAATGTCAAGATGCCGAGGGTCCCTTTGGACGATGCTGTGAAAGAGGGAGCATTAGTTTATCCCTGGACACAGTGAACGTGTACTGCAGTCCATCCCAGGTGAAGAAGAGCTGCTGCTTAGTTACCAGATCACAGCTGCATAGAAGTGACCAGAGGCTACAGAATTCTGCCCTAGAAAATGCGTCCATCGTGCAGAGCAGCTGTGACATGAGTCAGTATTGGTGAGGACCGTGGCCCTCCACCGTCCACTGCCCGTGATCCGTCTAATTTTTCAGGGGCCGGGCTGGTGCATCAAGCAGGGGTACGATGGGACCCCCGCTGCCTCCATTAAGTCTTCGAGGGTGGCAGTAACCTCTGTTTGTCCACCTGAGTGCAGGGTTGTTTTTAATGAATATGCCAAGCAAGATGAATGTTATACTCCTGAGTACACAGATTCTGCTTTCTTTCTTTAAACAGCAGGTAACCTCTGTTACTCTGTTTTGGGAGTTGATTAAATGACTTTGTGGTTCAGCTTTTCCTTTCAAGGTTTTATTGCTCCAAGTGATCCACAGGTCCCTGTGCTGCGCGGAATTCCAACATCTCCCTTCTCTGTGTGAGCTCGGGGAATTAAATACAACTTCAACTTACCCTTGTTTCCTAAAACGTTAGTCGATTAACAAAGGATGCAAACATCATTGCATCAGTGCGTGTATGTTTGTGTTTGCTGCCTCAAGATTTGAAAATAACGTGAGGTGAGTGCTCATGGAGGAAAAGCAACTGGACAGTTTCGACTCTCTGTCCTCTGCGCTGTCCCGGTGTCCACGTGTTTTCTTCTCATTCTTCTTTCTTCCTTCCTCATGTTCCAAGATTCCTCCCTTTATCAGTTCCTTTCTGGGTCAAGAGCTTCCTTTCCCATCCATTTAGGAGAGGCCTGCTTGTGATCAATCCTCTTAGCTCCCTCACCTGAGAATGTTTTTGTTTCCCCTTCATTCCTGGAGGATAACTTCACCATCTGCAGGATCAGGGTCAACAGTTCTTTTCCTTCAGCAGCTGAAAAATGTTGTTCCATTTGCTTCCTGTTTCCATGGTTTCCGATGGGAAGACCGTTGTCATCTGAATGGGTTTCCCTCTGTGGTCAGGTGGCATTTCTGTCTCACTGCATTCCAGAAACTTGTCTTTTGGGGCCGGCCTGGTGGTGTAGTGGTTAAGTTTGTGTGCTCCACTTCTGAGGCCTGGGGTTCGTGGGTTTGGAGCCCGGGCATGGACCTTTACACAGCTCATCAAGCCACACTGTGGCAGCATCCCACATACAAAACAGAGGAACGTTGGCACAGATGTTAGCTCAGGGACAATCTTCCTCACCAAAAAAAAAAAAAAAAAAAGAAAAAAAGAAGACACTTGTCTTTTGTTTTCCTTAGTTGGATTATGATGCATCTTGGCATGGCTTTCTCTGGACTTATCCTGTTTGGGGTTCACTAAGTGTCATGAATACGTAGGTTTATGACTTTTGCCAAGTTTGGGGAAATTCCAGCCATGATTTCTTGAATAGTTTTGCAGTCTCGTCTTCTTTCTCTTCTGCTTCTAGGACCCAGATGACACGGATGTGAGATCTTTTGTCATAGTCCCATAGGTCCTGAGGCTCTGTTCATGTTCTTTTCCAGTTTATTTTTCCTGTTGTTCAGATTGAGTACTTTCTATTGTCTGGTCTTCATGCTCATTGTTTCCTCTGTCCCCTCCAATCTGCTGTTGATCCCATCCATGGAGCCTTTTATCTTGATTATTGTGTTTTTCATATCTAAAATTTCCGTTAACTTCTTCTTTGTATCTTCTATTTCTTTGCTGAGGCACTCTTTTTAAAAATTCATTTTAAACGTGTGCAATTGCTCACGAAAGCATTTTTATTATGGCTGCTTTACAATCCTTATCAGATAATTGCAACGTCTGTCATCCCAGTGCTAGCATCTGTTGACAATAGTCTTTCCTCATGCAAGATGAGATTTCCCGGTTCTTGTTTTGAACTGGACATTTTGGATATTATATTGCGACAGTCTGGATCTTATTTAAATCTGGTCATAGGAGGCCTTTTCTGACACCTGGCTGGGGTAGTGACTCATTACTGCCAGGAGGAGGGTACTGTCCAGGTCCCCCACGTGGCTCCTTGGACACCCACTGTGTCACTCCTGGGGTCCTGACAGTCTTAGCCCATGTGCTGCCTTCTCTGCACTGTCTGGCGTGTTCTGCTGATGTTGTGTGTACAAGGTCCAGGAGTTCTACTGTGCCTCATGGGGGTTAGGGAGACATAGCTCTACTTCCTCTTGGTCCAAAACTGGGAGTCTGCAATGCAACTGATTTTTAGATATTGATGACATATAGTGACATTGGATCAATCCTTTTCAAGTTAGAATATCAGATGTTTCTATTATTTGTGGTTTTCCATGCACACAGTTTTGTAATCTGTGAGTAACACAGTTTTTTCCATCCATTCACCTGTTTTTTTTTTAAAGATTGGCACCTGAGCTAACATCTGTTTCCAATCTTTTTTCTTTTCTTCTTTTTCATCTCCCCAAATCCCCCGAGTACACAGTTGTATATTCTAGTTGTGAGTGCCTCTGGTTGTGCTGTGTGGGATGCTGTGTCATTATGGCCTGATGAGCGGTGCCCTGTCTACACCCAGGATCCGAACCGGTGAAACCCTGGGCCGCCAAAGCGGAGCGCACGAACTTAACCACTCGGCCACGGGGCCAGCCCCGATCCATTCACTCTTCTCACTTCTTTTTGGCTTTATTTAATTGGTTGGTTCTTCCACTGCCCTGCTGAATAGAAGAGGTCGTAGTGAACATTCTTGTTTATTCTCAGTCACAGGTGGAAAGATTTCAAGTTTTTACTTTTGAAAATTATTTCTGTTGTGGATTTTTAAAGATGCTTTGATGAATGATAGGAAATTCCCTTTTTTTGAGGTTTTTTTCATTTTGAATTGGTGATGTATTTTATCAGGAGCTTTGAATCTGTTGCTATGATCAGTTTTTTGTATTTCTTCTTTTATGTTTGAAATGTATTGACTGATTTTTGAATATGAAACCAATCATGCATTTCTGAAAAGGACGTACCAGCATGGTCATGCTATATTATCGACTTTATATACTGATGACTCTTATTTGGGAATATTTTGTGTAGGAATCTACAGCTAAGATCCTGTGAGAGAGCTTCCTGTGATTTTCCCATTATGTAGTTTCCTTGAGAGGTATTGGTATCAATTTTTTTCTGGCCTGATAAAATGTGTTGGGAGGAATATTGCCTCCTTCTCTATTTTTGGGAGAAACTGATTTAAATTTGGTATGTGTATGTATGTGTGTGTGTCTGGGCGTCCATGTGTGTATGTCATCACTATTTGGTATGTGTATGTATGTGTGTGTGTCCGTGTGTGTGTCTGGGCGTCCATGTGTGTATTTCATCACTATTTGGTATGTGTATATATGTGTGTGTGTCCATGGTGTGTGTCCAGGCGTTCATGTGTGTATTTCATCATTATTTGGAAGCTCTCATCAGTGAATCTTTCCAGAGTCAGAGTTCACTTTGTGGGAAAATTTTTAGTTATACCTTCAACATATTTGATATATATGACAATTCAGATTTCCTGTTTATGTTTATTTCCACCATTTTGGTGAATTGTATTTTTGAGGATTTTTGTCCATTTCATCTAGATTTTCTAGTATATTGGCATAAAGTTGTTCCTAATGCTCTGTTATCTACTGAAAGTCTGTAGGGTCTGTGATGCTGTCCTGATGATGTAATGTGCCTCCTCTCGTTTTCCCTTGGGTGTTGTGGCTGGGATCTGCAAGAGTGAATAATGTTCTCAAGAGCGAAAAGTCTTTATTGACTTTTCTCAGTTTTTTATTTGTCCTCGTTAGTAGCTAATCTTGTCATATTATTTCCCTCCCTCCACCTTCATTTGGAATAATTCTCTATTCTTTTTCTAAATTCTTGGTGTGATAGTTCAGGTAACTGATTTTTTTAGGCTTTTCTAAGATATTCATTCATTCATTCATGGTTCTTAATTTCCCCGTTTTGTAGGTTTGATGTGTAATGTTTACGTTATTATTCAGCTTAAAACATTCTCTCCCTTCTGTTTTGGATTTCTCATTTCACTCATGCATTACTGAGAAGTCTGTGGCTTTATTTCCAAAATGTGGGGATATCAGTTATCAGACTGCAGAATCAGGTGACTCCCAATGAGTCCCAGAAGCTCCTGGTGGTCCACATTAGGATTCCAGGCTGGCTGGGGGTTATTAGCTGAGTGTCTAGTGGGGGCAGCTTCTGTGCCTTCTGGGGTCCCTGCAGTCTCCCTCCCTGGAGGGTGGGGTCCGGGTCCTTCCTGGGCTAATGGATGGCCAGAGCAGCGTACACGCTGGGCTCTGCTGGGGGCTCCTCTGACTGGGAGGAAGGGGGTGTCATCTCCCGTCTGAGGATCAAGTGGTTCAGCTGGGCATAGGTCACGTCCTGGGGGTCTTCAGATGCAGCAGCCTAGAACAGGGGAAAGTGAGGGATAGGTATGTGGTTGGGGTGGGGGCAGCCTGGGGTCTGGGAGAGCATGGGACCCACCTGTCTGTGCATCTGTCTGTCCTCTTCTGCTTGTCTGTGCTTAGAGTTCAACAGTTCCTCTGACAGTGGGGCAGGAGAGGTGGCCACTCCCTGCCTGAGTCTTGCTCTTGAGTGGTTCACCTGGGCGTATGTCGCTCCTTGGGGGTCTTCATCATGCAGGCTCTGCTGGAGGGAGACAGAGGGACAGAAACAGTGTCTCCTTGATCCCACTGCTGACCTCCTCCAGTCAATTGTCCACACTGCTACAGAGTGAGGTCACTTTCCTGATGGAATCTTCAGGTACATACTAAGCCTGTGACATCTGGATGCTTCCTACAGTTCTGATTCTTATCCTAACATGCTATCTCTTCGTCTTTTGAATCCAGCCACACGGCCCATCCTCCTGAAAAAGCATGTTGCTGCCTCAGGACCTTTGCCCCTGCTGTTTCCTCTCCCCCCACCCTGCACTCTACCCCCTTTCCTTACTTTATTTTCCTTAACAGCACTTTACACTCTAGGAAGCTACTCTCATATTTGCATGTGGTCTCTTACCCACGAGGTGAGCTCAAGGAATGTGGAGACAGTATTGCTCACTGCTGTACCTACAGCACCTGAATGGAGCCAGGTAAACAGGGAGCTCCCTTTTCACAATGTGGGGTGAAAGAATGAAGGGGAGCCTAGGGGACTTGTGGGTGATTCACTTATTCGTGCATCCTCTTGAGACCTGGGGGTGCATCCAACAACCAGAAGGTCAGACAGTGGACAGGAACCAGAAAAGGGGACCACAGAGGAGGAGCACTGAGGTCACAGAAACCAGGAAGAGTGAAGTCACAGCAGGACGCCCCAGGTGCCTGAGAGGAGGGATCAGTGTGGGACGCTGCTGAGAGCTGGGTGACGTGAGGACAGCCAAGTGTCCATTGGGTCAAGTTTGACAACAGGAAGGTCCCTGGTGGCCTGGACAGGGCTGGGGTCTCACCTGATGGCCCAGCTCCACGCCTTCCTCAGGCTGTGTGTCCTTCACGGCAGCATCTGCTGGGGCAGAACAGGGGGTGTGTCTCTTGTCAGGATTCCCTGAGGTCTCTCAGGGCTGCAGCCCCTCCTTTGCTCCCAGATGGGCCACTGAGATCCAGGGGTGAGGAGATGGGCCCGAGGTCACTCAGGGGAATTTCAGTCCTTTTCACCCCAAATCCCCAGACCCTTCCAGCCGATGCCCCCATGGCCCACTGAAATCTGTGCCCCCACCCCCCATGGGGGCCCCTTTTTCCTCTCACAGAGGGTCTGTTCCTGGGTGTCAGCAGCTGGACTGGAGCTGAGGGAGGAGATGGGAGTGTAAGGGGCAGAGAGGGGGCCGAGGGTGGGGTGGGAGTCTGGGGTCTTCAGGGCAGGAATTACCTGATCTTCAGGCGTAAGTCCTTGGGCTGTGGGTCTGCAGCCCCTGCAGGAAATTGGAGATCAGCCTGTGTCTGGGCTGGGTCAAGATGGACAGAGTCTCAGCCCTGGGAGGTGATGACCACCCGCCCTCCACATGTGATTCGGGAGAAAAGAAGAAAACCGTAACCCTTGCTTGTGTGTATGTTTCAATATTTCATGAGACTGAAAAGGTGAAAGAATTCCTTCAATGTGTACCTATGTGTTGGATTAAGTGTTTTCTTTTGGATTTTCTGATTTGAGATTCTGGAAAAGTCTTTTTCTGGTTGACTTTCCCATCTACTTTTTTTCCCCTTTGGCTGGTGCCCTAAGCCCACGTCCTCCTGTGAGCCGGGTCACCCTGTTCCCTACTCACCTGGTGTCCTGCGTTTGTCCTGACGCTGGTGTCGGGTAAGGAGGAAGAGGAGGAGGAGGGAGAGGAGCAGGACGAAGGCCACCGTGACTCCAATCAGAACGTTCAGATACCATGTGAGACCTTGGGCACATGTGATGTCATGAATGAGCCAATGACGCTATTTAACTGAGCACCTACTGTGTGCCACACACGTGCTGGGGTCTGTGCACTCACCTCCTCTAACTCCCAACAATCATGCACCAAAACACTGCCATCCTCCACCCACCCATTTCACAGATGAGGAGACTGAGGCACAGAGAGGTAAATCATGTGCCCAGGTCACCCAGCCTGAAGTGGCGGAGCTGGGACTGGAACCCAGAACGGTGGGTTCCCTTGTTTTCTATTATCATTTTTTATGCTGTGCCCTTACTCTCCAGGCAGAACACGAGGCAGAGACCTGACCAGCAAACACAATCCCTCCCCCACCCCCCTCTCCCAGCCCATGTCCGTCCCCTACTCTGCAGAGGGCTGGCACCCCCAATGGGGGCCTGTGTGCACATGGAGCGTGTGCATCTGGGAAGGGCAAGAGGGAGGGCTGTCCTCCCTGAGCTCTCGGGGCCAGGCCCCAGGCTGAGGGCTCTCTCTCTGAGGGGCATGGCGGAGGCCTGTTGTGCAGAGAGGACCCTCAGGCTCGGAGAGGAGCATGCCTCGTCCAGGGTCCCACAGGTGGGCAGCCCTGGGGTTTGAACCCGGGGGTGTCCTTGTCCCAACTCCACGGCTCCTCCTGGACGGGCTGTGCCCCTGAGCGTGTGGAGGAGAGCTCAGACACCACACGTGTCCCCACACTCAGTGTCCACGCAGCCTTCTCGGACCATGCAATCAGTGAAACTGGTCTCACGGAGAAAGACGAGCGTTCCTCAGGTCAGCATCTCAGGAAGGGACTGAGCCAAGACCAGACCTGAGCCCCTCCCATGCACCGCTTCCCCACAGAGACCCTCGCTTACCCCACCTTGTGCCTGACTCCCCGGGGGAGAGTGGATCCTCAGAGTCTCCTGGGGATCAGGATGGGAAGTGAGGGGGTGGCTGCCATTCTCCCCACTTCAGCCCGGCTGCCCCTCCCCCGAGATGGGTCTCAACGTCTCCTCCCTCTGCCATGACGCCCCATCCGCCGTCTGCCCAGCCTCAGAACTCCTGAAGCCCCGTGTCCTCTGACATCTCTGCCCAACTCCCCTGGGAGACAGGCCATGCCCGAGTGAGTGATCCTGGTCCCTCTGGGGATCAGCCTCTTCTAGTCAACACTCTGGTGTCTCTGGGTGAGGGGCTTCTAGGACTGGACACTTTAGGGGGATCAGGAGGCGGTGCCCCTGGCCCTTTCTCCTTTTGTCAGCCCTGAGTCCTCTCCAGCTGTCTCCACTCACCGCAAATGTCTCTGGACCTCAGGGATGGGGATGAGGATGGGCATGAGCATGAGGTCGGCTGGGATTTGCTCTGGCTTTTTCCATCCCTCTGAGAGGCGAGGTTCCCCTCTGGCTGACTTGCCTTCTGTGACCCCCTCACTCCCATCCCAGCCCAGATCTCCCCTGGGGATGGGACCCTGAACTGACCGTGAGGACACAAGGGGCACGACTGGGGCTCCTCACCTGAGACCCGGAGCTCCAGGAGGTCACTGGGCAGTGACAACAGGTGGGGGGAGGTGCTGTTTGAGCCGTAGCACCTGTAGGTCCCTTCGTGGTCTGAGGTCACAGGACCGATGGTGAAGTTGGCCTGAAAGGGGGCGGCCGTGTCCTGCAGACGAAGGTGCTGGGGAGGAGCAGGTGACCCCTCCTTGGACAGATGGAAGGTATCGAACCAGATCTCAGAGCGACACCGCAGGGTCACGTTCTCTCCCCAGGACACTGAGGGCCCCGGCTGGGCTGAGAGGGAGGGTTTCTCGTACATCCCTGGGGAGAGAATGTTGTAGTGTGTAGAGAGCTGCCCCCTCCCCACAGGCCCTTGACCACTGACCTCTCTTCAAGGACTCTGTCTGTGACTCCCTCTCAGCTCCCCTCTGTCTTTTATCTCCTGGCGCCTCACTCGCCCTTTCTCACTCCATCTCCACAGACCATGGCCCCATCTCAGTCCCTGCTCCAGGACCCTCTCCCTGGACCCTATGACCACCAGGGGTGACCCTGGGCCCAGCACCCTGAGCAGACAATCAGGACATGGGGCTCTCACCCGCAATCAGGATGTCCAGGGGTGCGCTGGGGGCCGACCACACGTGGGAGAGGTTGTATCCACCGTAGCATCTGTACTGGCCCCCGTGGGTGTGGCTCACATGGCCCAGGGGGAAGTCAGGGCTGTGCTGCTCGTGAAGATGCTGAGGGGGTGTGAGCCCCTCATCCCTGGTCAGAGCGAATCTGTCAAAGTCGGCCTCTGAGCGACACTGGAGGGTCAGATTGTCTCCAGAGAGCACCAGCGAGCCAGGCTGGGCTGAGAGGGAGGGCTCCCTGTACACGCCTGGAGAGAAGGGACAGTGGCATCGAAGGGGACGCACACCCCACATTGCCCACTGGGCCTACAGTGAGAGCTCTCACTGGTCCCTCCTCAAGCCTCCTGCTCTGTGGTTCAGGCCCCAGGAGTCCATTTCACCGACCCCGACCACCTCCAGGGCTCCACTGGGCACTTAGGTCCGTCATTTTTGGGTTCCAGGAAAGTGATTGATCAGGGGGGCACTCACCTGTGACCTCGAGGTGGAGAGGGTCGCTGGGCTGTGACCACGCATAGGGGTAGGAGCTGGGAGAACCATAGCATCTGTAGGTCCCCCCATGGGAGGTGTTCACGGGGCCCACAGGAAAGAGGGCCTGCCACCTGCCATGATGGATCCTCGGCTCCATTTGTTGGGATGAGTTAGCTCCTCCCTCCTTCAGCAGATGGAAAGTGCCAGATGTGACCTCTGAGCTACACCACAAGGACACATTCCCTCCTGATGCCACCACAGGGCCTGGGTGGGCTGAGAGGGAGGGTGCGCTGTACGCTCCTGAGGGAGAAGGAGGGAGGTGTGTTAAAGTAGCGATCCTCAGCCCACACACCCCTGGTGTGGACTGTGAGTGCTGAGGTCCCCTGAGTCCACACTCCTTCCCTTCTGCCTGTGAGGAGGAGCCCACAGTGGGAGGGGACCCGGCTCCTCCCCCTTACCTGTCACCACCAGGCGCAGGGGGTCACTGCGCTCTGACCAGCCGTTCCTGCGGATGTGATAGGCACACTGATACAGCCCTGCAGTGTGTGTGCTCATAGATTCGATGAAGAAACTGGTCTTGTTGCTGGAGTCCTGTGGGGCCTCTATATACACGGGTTTAGAGACCCTCCCTCTATACAGATGGTAGACGTCAGCCTGCAGTGACCCCTGACACCAGATGGTCACAGGGCTCCCCCAGGTGACCACGGGTCCTGGGTCAGCCCAGATGGAGGGTTTGGGGGTGACTCCTGGAAAGAAATCAGAGCTGAAGTGTCAGCGGAGCCCTTCTCCCCTCAGCTTGCCCAGGTGTTGCTCAAGGCCCCTCCCAGAGTGGTCACCTCAGCCCAGACCCTCTGTGCTCCTTCCACCTGCCCACAGGGTTCATTGGGCTGAAGCAGGAGGTGTGGGGAGGACTCACCCGCCTGTACCTGGTTCCACAGGTCCTGACACAGCCCTGGAAGAGAGTTCCCTGTGAGGGCACGTCTACTCACCCACACAGAGAAGCTCCCGGCCTGGTCTAGGCCCCTGAGCACTGGGGTCAGATCTGGGTACTGAGCACGTCTGTCCTGTCCCCAGAAATTCTGCCCCCACTGAGCCTCCTGAGTCCTGGGTCTCAGGGATCAGGACCTGGGATGGGAGCAGACACTGTCCCTCTTCTTTTCCCCAAACTCACCCAGGCAGAGAAGGGCAGTGAGGACAGGTGTCCTGGCCCTGCCTTCCATGGTCCCCAGTTGTGCAGACAACTGAGAAAGTCCACGGAGCCCGGCAGGACAGACAGACAGAGAGGGTGTGACAAGGTCCAGGCTCCGTGTGACACGTCACAGGTTCCTCATCTGTGGCCTCACAGGAAGGGGAACAGCCCCTCCCGGGGCCTCCCTTTGCTCTCCCTGAAGTGTGGGGCTGCGGAGACAGCAGACCCAGGGGACCTCCCAGACCAGCTCTGAGTCTCTGCACATGCCAAACACTCTGCCTCCAGCTCATGCCAAACCCAAATCCTGAGAGTGACACATATCTCAGAACATGAGGCTTGCAGAGGACGGGAGAGGAGCCAGTACAAGCTCTGTTCTAACTCTGACTCTGTCTCTTGTAGAGGCTTTGTGACCTGGGGCAAATCACTTCCCTTTGCTGAGCTTCTGTAAATGCAGATTTTCTTTCATCAGCCAGGCAATCAGTATTTATTGAGCAGTTCCCCTGTCCCGTCATGGTGCCAAGAGCTGGAGGGTCATTGGTGAAGCTGACAGAGTCTTTCCCTGGACTCATGGGCTCAGGTGAATGAAGACAGAGATTACGAATATTTAGGTGGCTAACAATTCAGTTATAGTCTTGTTTTGATACAAGTTGGAAGAAAAAAGAAAACAAGGGACAATGAGATTCAGTAACAGGTAGTCATCCTGCATCCTGGGTCCTGGTTGTGAGGGGTCCTTCTGGGGAAGCAGTGACCCAAGGCATGAGCAGAGGTTAGCCCAGAGGTGGTGATGGTGATGGGGCATCCTCATCCACAAAGATCTGAGCTGTTCTCAGAATTGAGAGCACTCAGGAGAAGGCTGGGTCTTGTCACACAGGATCTTGAGCACCGTGCAAGTGTTTTGGATTTTGTCTTTAAGGCAATGGGAAGATTTTAAGCAACAGAGAGTATGAACATATTTCTGTTTTAAAAAGACTACCACCATGTAGAAAATGTAATGCTGGAAGGCTCTATTGATAATTAATTCTATTAATAATAGAATTATTATTAGTTATCCAGGGGCCAACATTAATCTGGCTCCTGGATGGCGTGTTGATCAGTATTTTAAGCCATTTATGTGGTTTTATCGTATAACCCTTGCACAAATCTGTAACACAAAATACATTTACAATTGAGTGGAATGAGACAGGGTGGTTTCTTTGTCCCTCAGGTTGGAAAGGAGTCAGCTAGGTGCAGACTTGCTGAGGGAGCAGCCAGAGGAAGGCACAGAATTGTTAAGTAGCTCAGTTTGTGTGTGTGCTTGGGGTTGTGTGTGGTTACCTGTGATGAGTTTGGTTGAGGAGGAGAGTTGTGTTTGCTGGGGCTGGTGAGTTTAGCTCAGGCCTGATCATTCACAGCCCTGAACATCAGATGGTGCAACTTGGATGTGTTTTGAAGATGGAAACTGTTGGAAGGGTTTTGAGAAGGGCAGGATCAGGAGAAAGGAGTGGGGGCCTGTCCTGGAGGACCAAGAAGCAGGCTGATGTGATGATACAGATGAGACCTCCTGAGTCTCGTGATGGATTGTGATATTGTTAATAAGGACTCAAGGGGCGTGGTGGTGTGGATGTGATGATTGGATGTGAAGTGCCATAGAGTGAGGAACTGAAGGCTGTTCCACTCTCTGCCTTGGTACCTGGAGGAGCCAGTGGGGCCCTCACAGGGAGGATGACCCTGTGGGAGAAGGAGGCGTGGGGAGATGCTTAGAAGGCTGATGACCATTTTCAGAAGAAACAGAACTCTCCCTCCTGACCTCGGATTGTCGGTTTTCTTCCTTCCAAACACTTCCCTTCACTGACTTCCTTGTTTCTAAAGTCAGCACCATCTTTTTCTTCATCATCCTCCTTCAAAACCTCTGAGTCATCTTTCCCTCCTCAGTGCCCTTTACTTCTCCAGGCAGAACTCCTTTTTTTCTGAATTGTTTTATTGAGGTCATGTTGGTTTATAACATTGTGCAATTTCAGGTGTACGTTATTATATTTCAGTTTCTGATTAGACTGCATCGTGTTCACCTCCAACAGTCCAGTTTTCATCTGTCACCATACATATGTGCTCCTTACCCCTCTCACCCTCCCCTCTCCCCTTCCCTTCTGGGAACCACTTAATCTATTGTCCTTATCCTTGTGTTTGTTTATCTTCCACATATGAGTGAATTATACAGCGTTTGTCTTTCTCTGTCTGGCTTACTTTACTTAGCATAATACCCTGAAGGTCCATTGATGTTTTTGCAAATGGCACAATTTTGTCTTTTTTTATGGCTGGGTAGTATTCCATTGTACGCATATGCCCCATATTCTTTGTCTATCCGTCTGTTGATGGGAACTTGGGTTGCTTCCACAACTTGGCCATTGTGAATAATGCTGCAATGAACATAGAAATGCGTAAATCTCTTTGTATTGTTGATTTCATGGTCTTTGGATAAATACCCAGTAGTGGGATAACTGGATCATACAGTATTTCTATTTTCAATTTTTTGGGAAACATTCATACTGTTTTCCATGGTGGCTGCACCAGTTTGCATTCCCACCAGCAGTGTAAGAGGGTTCCCTTTTCTCCACATCCTTTCCAACATTTGTTTTTTTTTTTCTTGTCTTGGTAATTATAGCCATTCTGATGAGTATAAGGTGATATCTGATTGTAATTTTGATTTGCATTTCCCTAATAAATGGTGATGGTGAACATCTTTTCATATACCTGTTTTCCATCTGTGTGTCTTCCTTGGAAAAATGTCTGTTCGTATCCTCTGCCCATTTTTTGATTGGGTTGTTTATTTTTTGTTGTTGAGCTGTATGAGTTCTTTATATATTTTGGAAATTAACCCCTTGTGGGATATGTGATATGGAAATATTTTCTCCCAGTTGGTGGGTTGTCTTTTCATTTTGTTCATGGTTCCCTTTGGCTTGCAGGAGCTTTTTAGCATGATGTGGTCCCATTTGTTTATTTTTCCTTTTGTTTCCCTTGCCCAAGTAGACATTGTATTCAAAAGGTGGTGCTAAGACTGATGTGAAAGAGGGTACTGCCTGTATTTTCTTCTAGGAGTTTCGTGGTTTCAGGTCTCATATTCAAATCTTTAATCCATTTCGAGTTAATTTTTGTGTATGGTGTAAGATAATGGTCTACTTTGATTCTTTCACATGTGGCTGTCCAGTTTTCCCAACAATATTTATTGAAGAGACTTTCCTTTCTCCCTCGTATGTTCTTGGCTCCTTTGTCAAAGACTAACTGTCCATAGATGTGTGGTTTTATTTCTGGGCTTTCAATTCTGTTCCATTAATCTGTGTGTCTGTTTTTGTGCCAATACAATGCTGTTTTGAATACTATAGCTTTGTAGTACATTTTGAAGACCAGGATTGTGATGTCTCCAGCTTTATTCTTGTATTCTTTATTCTTTTTTCTCAGGATTGCTTTCACTATTGGAGTCTTTTGTTGTTCTGTATAAATTTTAGGATTCTTTATTCCATTTCCATGAAGAATGTCATTGGGATTCTGATTGGGATTGTATTGAAGCTGTATATTGTGTTATTTAATATGGACATTTTAAATATGTTTGTTCTTCCAATCCATGAGCATGGGATATCTTTCATTTCTTTATGTCGTCTTCAATTTCTTTCAATAATCTTTTATAATTTTCATTGTATACGTCTTTCACCTCCTTGGTTAAATTTATTCCTAAATATTTTATTCTTTTTGTTGCGATTGTAAATGGGATTGTATTCTTGACTTCTCTTTCTGCTAGTTTGTTATTAGAGTATAGCAACTGAATTTTGTAAGTTGATTTTGTACCCTGCAAGATTGCTGTAATTGCTGAGTATTTCTAATAGTTTTCTGATGGATTTTTAACAAGTTTTCTCTATATAAAATCATGTCATCTGCAAACAGTGAGAGTTTCATTTCTTCCTTTCCAATTTGGATTCCTTTTTCTTGCCTAATTGCTCTGGCCAAGACCTCCAGTACTATGTTGAATAAGAGTGGCAAGAGTGGGGCCCCTTGTCTTGTTCCTGTTCTCAGAGGGATGGTTTTCAGTTTTTGCCCATTGAGTATGATGTTGGCTGTGGGTTTGTCATATATGGCCTTTACTGTGTTGAGATACTTTCCTTCTTTACTCATTTTATTGAGAGTTTTTTTTTTTTTATCATAGATGGACATTGGATCTTATCAAATGCTTTCACTGCCTCTATTGAGATGATCATGTGCTTTTTATTCCTCAGTTACTTAATGTGGTGTATCACATTGATTGATTTGTGGATGTTGAATCATCCATGCGTCCCTGGTATAAATCCCACTTGATCATGCTTTATGATCCTTTAAATGTATTGCTGTATTTGATTTGCTAATATTTTGCTGAGGATTTTTGCTTCTATCTTCAACAGTGATATTAGCCTGTAATTTTCTGTTTTTGTGTCGTCCTTCTCTGGTTTTGGTATCAGGGTGTCATTGGCTTCATAGAATGAGTTAGGAAGCATCCTGTTTTCTTCAATATTTCAGAGAATTTTGAGAAGCATAGGTATTAAATCTTTTTTGACTGTTTGGTAGAATTCACCAGAGAAGTCATCTGGTCCTGGACTTTAGTGTTTTTGGAGATTTTTGATTACTGCTTCAATCTCTTTACTTGTGATTGGTCTATTCAGATTCTCTGTATCTTCTTGATCAGTTTTGGGAAGTTGTATGATTCTAATTTATCCATTTCTTCTAGGTTATCCAATTTGTTGGTGTATAGCTTCTCATAGTATTCTCTCATAATACTTTGTATTTCTGCAGTATCTGTTGTAATTTCTCCTCATTCATTTCTAATTTTATTTATCTGAGTCTTCTCTCTGTTTTTCTTAGTGAGTCTGGCTAAGGGTTCGTCAATTTTGTTTATCTCTTCAAGAACCAGCTGTTAGTTTCATTGATTCCTTCCATTGTTTTTTGAGTCTCTATTTCATTTATTTCTGCTCTAGTTTTTATTATTTTCCTCTTTCTGTTGACTTTGGGCTCTGTTCTTTTTCTACTTCTGTTAGGTGTAGTTTATGATTACTTATTTTAGATTTTCCTTGTTTCATGAGGGAGACCTGTATTGCTGTAAATTTCCCTCTTAGTACCACTTTTGCTGCATCCCACAAGAGTTGGTATGCTGTGTTTTCATTTTCAATTGTATCCAGGTATTTTTTGATTTCTTCATTGATCTAATGGTTGTTCCATTGTATGTTGTTTAGTCTCCACGTGTTTGTGACTTTCTCAGCTTTTTTCTTGTAATTAATTTCTAGTTTCATAGCCTTGTGGTCATAAGAGA